CTGTTTTAGAAATTTCCCCATATATGAAAATTTTCATATGCTTCAAAGTTTAATATATTTTATATCAAAAGTAAATATATACGAGTGGTTGGCAGGCCAATTTTGGTTCAGCCAGATTCCGAAGTCCCTTCTACACTGCTATATAATACAGATTATCAAAGAAGATAATACAGATTATCTGCTTTGATCTGGATTATCTGAGTCCATACTGCCATATAATCCAGTTCAAAGCAGATAATCTGGATTTTATATGGCATTATTGAAGGGGCCTGAGTGGGCCTTACTCTTTTCCCCAATTGCACCCAAGAGATGATGTTCCAGGGACTACGCACTACTGTTGGATATTTGGTTGTTGATTAGAGGCCCAGATTGTACAGTCATCTCTCCACATTTGCAGTTTTGACTTTTGCGGATTTGATTATTCGTGGACTGTGTGAATCTGTGGCCAACTTCCTTCAGCCGCACTAGAGGGCATAGCGTTTTCTAGAGACAACACATTTCTAGAATGTCTAGGTCTTTCAATGAGAGTCTATGTGTAGCTTCCAGAAGAAGATAGGGGTCCTGTGCCCCTAACCCTAGTGAATGTGGAGGCCTGATTGTATTTTGCCTGAAAAATCTTTTTTCCCAAATGGAGAATGAATATTTGCATGGGAGCCCCCCAAAGACCACATAGTTGATGTGATTCCCATCCCTGTTCTACAAATAAAAGCACAAAGACAATTCAAGATTTAAATTCTGGATTTAAATATAGATACTTATTGGACATGGAGATGTTTTTGCTTACAACATATGTTTAAAAGTTAAAACTATAACATTCTTTCAATCCAGTTTATAATGAGCTCTCTGGGCTCCTGAATATCTTCTGAAATTGTTTAGAGCACCCAAGCAAGAAAATGAACCAGTAAGACTAGAAAAGAAAGGGAAGGATCTAATGTATAAATGAATATTTTCTTCATAGGTCAACACCTTCTTCTCTTTTAAAGTCCAGGAGTCCCTATAATCAAAATGCCCTCAAAGGTCTCAAATGGCTCTGGGGGAAAAAAGCAGACTATTACACAAACAAACAAACAAATTTAATAGCATTTCCCATGTTGTATTGCACCCTATCATCCTTCAAATGGGTCCATGAAAAGGGTTCTTCACCATGTGCCTGGAAAATATGGATGTGTTTATATTTTGCAGGTATTATTGGAATCCTTTTCACTGCCCATTCCTGGACAACTGTAAAAGGGACACAGAAATGTTATTTTCCAGTTAATCCATGGAAAAATCACCACCAAATCAAGAGACATGGCCTGATTGATATAACTCTTCTTCTCTTTCTCCCACTTTTAGGTTCATGAATGTTCAAAGCATACTACTTTGTTTTCCTGTGCTACTGCCTCTTTTTCAGAGCCTTGCTGACTAGACCATGTACATATGGTCTGGAATTAAATTGCATTTTTCATTAAAAACATTGAATTCCGTGATGGAAGAATTACCTTGAGTTCCGTGATGATACAATTAATTAATCATTCACAGACACCCCACCCAGAGTGCTGCATTTCAAAACGTATTCAGAAGCTATAATTGTAACACAAATTAGCTAAACAGAGAGATGTGTGCAAATTAGCTCTAGTTTCCATGGTATTTCCATATCTTCCTGCACTATCTATGGAACACAGGAAAAAGAAATATCCAATTAGTCACATCTATACATGTGTGTAAAAGAGTAATCTGCTAAATTTAGCACCTGGGCTCAAGGAGCCGTCTGTTAATAGGAAACCCTATCCTTTGCTACAGAAAAAGGGAGAAAGTGGAGAGGCCATAAAGTCAGATAGTTTTAATTGGTAAGATGTATGTGGCAGCCTTTGAAATAAGGATCAAGATCCCAAAGTGAGGAAGCAGCCAGGAACAGTTTCCTCAATGGGGACAGAAAATGTTCTAGGCTATCAAGGTGGATAAACTACACACTGACGCATAAGATAAAATGGAGCTGGGATTAGGAGAAACACTATGAACTTCAGACTGAGATTTTATATCCCCTTTCCTTTCTCACAGTAGGGATGGAATAATATGCTTTTCATATGTGTCAGAAGACCCTACAGAGGAGAATCTTGGACTGAGGAGAATCTTCAGTCTAAGATACATTCTGTGTAAAATTCACATGTGGTATTTTTACACAGAAAAAATTACTGGTTGCAAAGAAAATAATGCTATTTCCTGCATAGAAATTGCTGAGTGCAGGTACTAAAAATGTTGTGCAGAATATGTACTGAGCTATAGCTTTCAAAAGCTTTTTAGCAGTGAAAAAACAACTACTACGTTTGTTAGAGATTCCTTGTAAGACCAAAATTGACCAATTAACATCCTTACTTTACAAATCCCATAGCTTTAGTTCCAAATTGACCCAACTCAACTAGAATATATGTCTAGCATAGTGGCAGTAACTCTTATTTTAGCTAGCCCCCATATAATTAGTTATGTATTAATATGGGTCAGGTTCACAAGTCATCAAAAGGTGGTATGAATCACAATATGTAAAAAAAAACCCTACTCATGTTATTGATTATGCTCAACTCACTTTTTCTTGATAAGAAATATGTGATTAGTTTTCCTTAGCTCAATTAATCTGACATCTCTCTTCTGCACTTTTGCCAACTATTCCTCATGCAAATAATGGATTCTGCTTCACCAGGGGTATTGATCCATTGAGACCTTTAGGTTAGGAGCAAAGCCTCTTTAATTACTTTGGCTGGCCTCTGTTTTTTACAGTGTCTTGGGGATTCTAGCTCCCACATTTGAGTGCTGTTACCACTTACATTTTGAGAACTGTTTTCCCTGCCAGAGTAATAACAGGCAACCCAGCCTGCCTTCTCTCTACCTGGCATAGGAGGGGGGGAAAGGAAGTGAGAAGAAGCTATTCCTTTTGCTTCTCTAAGGATTTGATAACCTCTTCACTCTCCTTAGCTAGAGGTGTTTTGACCTTTAATTAAAAGGCAAATTTGTTGTCTTCCATTCAGAAGACAGCAAATAATGATCTCATTAAAATGAGGTTAGTGTTCAGGCCTTAGAGCAATAAGAGCTGAAGTCTCATTAGTAGCTAACAATCCAGAACACAGCACATAAATAAAGCTAATATGGCAGAGCAAAATGCCTTGGTGCATTAAATTTGAGCAGAATCAAATGTTTACAGTCAATGATGTCTGGGGCATGAAGTTTTAATGTACTTAATAAAGGAAAGCAAATTGCTTCCTGTTAGCCATGAAATGTTCCCGTAGAACTAGCCCCCCACAAAAAGTTTATTATGCAAATGAAGGAGATAGCTGTAATTAACAAGGACATTGTGGGAAAATATCATTCTGACTTAATAGGTGCAGCAATTATGAAAAATAAAGAAAGACAAGGCGACTCAAACCTACAAAACTTAATTACGCAGTTGCAGCTAAAATCTAGCTGAATGGGAAGATGATGTAAATAAATAAAAAAGACTTGCACTATGAATACTAAATGGGGAGTCCTATTCCTGTGAACAATGCCAAGAAGCAATCGATATAATGAAACTCACAAATATCCTCGACAACTGAATTGCTTGATTTCATTACTTTTGCAATTACAAATCACAAAGCTAGACATTCCGATGTGAATCTTTATGTTTGCAAAGATTCCCGACTGTAGGATAAAATAATTCCTTTATATATTTCATTGAGTAAAAGATACTATAACTATATTGCATTCAACTTTGAGAGTATATAACGATATGGATTGCCTTAAGGTGAAAATTCTTCTTGGAAAGATAAACAAAATGGCACTAATTACTGCAAATGGTTTTAAATAAAATACGAAGAACTTCCCACAGCTGGTCACACAGCATTTTTCTCTCCATTGGCCTCTCTTGTGGATTTCCAACAGCTCCATAGAGCCATGTGTGATTGTTTTAAAAATAGCATCTTATTATTCTTATTATATTTATCTACTTCGTCTTAGGAAGCACTGAGAAACATACATGAGATTTTAGGCTGGCTCATTCTACACAGACTACTAAACCTGAGGCTGGTCGAGAACATTGCTGCTTCAGACCAGCCCCAGCTTCCATGGATATGTTAATACGCATTGCTCCCAAACCAGTGGATGGCCACCCTTCCCTTTGTTGTTGTTTGTTACTGAAGCAGTGACCACAGAGAGCTCCTGGTCATCACCAGATACCTTTTCAGATATTGGCCAGGAGCTCTCCAGAAAATCATGGCTGCTGCCACAGCAAAAAGAAAAAAAAAGAACAGGTAAGTGTCATCCTATTTTGCCTCCATGGGAAAAAGGGAAGAGCAGCCCTGGCTCATGTGGACAGCTAGACCTGTTAGAATTAAAGCTTTCCCAGCTGTCCACACTGGGTAGGCAAAACTCCAGAGCATTCTCTGACTTCTACTAATAAGTCATAAAATTGGGATAACTGGATTTATCCCACATTAAGGATTGAAAGTCCCTGAATGTCATATGGACATCCAGGAGAGACATTTGACTCAAATCAGGATTTCTAGCCCATGTAAACATGGCCTTGGAGTCTGTTCAGACCTACCTCCATAGTCATATCTGATCAGCTTTTGCAATAAATGTATAGTCATATCTTGTCAGCTTTAATAATATCACCACTTCCTTTGATATCACTAGTTTATGCTTATGAAATATAAATGGAATATACACTGGAAACCTAAATATACCCTAAAGCAACTGTCCCATTCTACACAATTAGACTTAATCTCTTGGAGAACATGCATAAGAATGTACTGAAAGTTATAAAAATAAAATACAGTGATCATATAATTAAATTTAGTTTATAAAATTAGTTTTCTGCCTAAATTCTATCACCATGTCAAGATTCAGTTTTGCTATAGTTTAGTGAGCAGAGAAGTAACTGGCACTAGATCATATTTGTTAGCATTCTTAACTTTAAAACTCAATAACGCCAGTTTAAAAATGAGGCATTATTTTTTTTCTAAATGCATGCTATTTCTTATTTGTTTCAGGCCTTACTAGAGACTCAAATTTTACTTCGCACTCAGGTTGCAAATTTTACCTTCAACCTTGGATTTTCAGGAAAGTTTTACCACACAGGTAAGGAGGAATTCTATAGTTTCAGGTAGCAATTTAATGGGGGAAAGATTCTAAAGCAGTCTTCATAGCATAATCTAAATTGCAATATAATCTGCTATACACATCTGAAAATTATATTATAAAAATATTTAAAATTAAAGTTTAGATTTGTCTTCCCAAATTTTATTTTAGATACAACTAATTAGAATTTGGAGTTTACCACAAACTGCATTTATAAAAACATCTCTTCCAGAACAAGGTTTCATAATTTCACAAAATTAATATCATTGCCCGATGGGCTTAACAAAAGTTTTGAGTAAAAATGCTACTCTTACTCCTAACATATAAATCCATGACATTTACCTACATCATTCAGCAGTCTTAATTGGTTAATGCATTCAGAATTAACCAATACAAGGGAGACTTTTTAAAATAAATTAATCAGTTTAGGATTGATTTGCATCACCATTTTGTCTTGTGATAGTCATTGGAGAGGGGGGACATTGGAAATTAACTCTTTTGGAATGGAAAAAGTCAAATTCGTGCCATGATTCCAAAAGCAGTTACTCAGATAATGAAATATAAGTCACCTTTCCTCCAAGGAGAATTCTTAGATCACTTAACAAATGTTCTATTTTTCTATTTAATAAAAAATGTACATGTTTCATATTTTAGAATCCAGCTCAGAATTCTCATATGCAGACAGAAGGATTTCAACCTTCTAAAATATATTGGTTTAATGAAACTAATGAAGCAGTAGTAAATTAGTGGATTTGCTTCAAAAGCATATGAAAATAAAAGATATACATTGCAAAATAACTTTGGCTAATTTCCCAAGACAATAATATCAGCTAAAAGATTATGAAAGAAGTAGACAAACTGCCAGGTATTTATTCCAAAACAAGACAAGGCAGAGCTCACACCATCTTTGGCTTTCTCATCCTATCAAATAGAATAAAAGGCATAATACCGAAAACCGAGTGCTCTGACCTGTCTTAAGTCGGAATCATAACTATGTGATGCACACCCCATTGTGACTTCACACAATTATGAGTTAGACATTATAGAGCGGTGTGGTTTTTGGAAGTGTACTGCTCTGCCCAGGGGAAAAAGATGTGGATTAAAGGAATTTAAATTAAATGAAAAGAGGATTACTTCACCTTTTGAGTTCTAAGTAATTAATTGATTTTTACTCCCCCACTGATTCTCCAGATTAGCATAACCTGCTTCCAATCACATCTTTTGGATTTCCTATCTCTGACAGCACTCTTTCTTAAATCTCCTAAACTTTTTTTTGCTGCCTTTCCCCTGGCTATATCTCTTCTTCATTAAGAGCCTGTGTTAAGGGTTAGTAGAGATTAAAAGCAGCAAAGTGCACTGCACTCTTAAATTTCTTTCTCCAAGCTGTAGTGGCTTCCTTACTGGACTGTTAATATTGCTGCAGTACAACCACAGAATGTTAGATAAGGATCCCTGTCAACCTAAAAAAAAACCCTTATGCATTAGGGGTATGCACAATGCAAAAAACCCCACCCCGTTTTGTTTGTCTTCGTGAAATTTGCACGACCCCTGTTGTTTTGATTCTAAAGTGTTTTGAACAATCCCTAAGAAGTCTGGGTCATATCTAAGGTGAAGTGATGAGAAATTTATTATTGTTTTCATTATTTTAAAAACCTACAAGAGCTAAGTTATACCTGGTAGAGGAGGAGGCCCTATGGGGACTTGGAGCAGCACTTCTCCCTCTGCCACCAAGCTTTATGCAAGCACACCATGTCCTGCGCTGGGCATGGGAAGAACAACAGACCTGAAGTGGGAGGAGACCTCTGGTGCAAGAGTTTCAGATCCTGCACCTTGCAGAAAAGGAGGCATATATATATATATATATATATATATATATATATATAATCTCCTACTCTCCCTTGGCTTCCTGCTCGTTTTGAGCCAAAAAGCCACAGGTCCTTCCCTGTCAAGGAGAGGGAGGGGGAAGGAAGGAAAGAGGGAAGGAAGGAGGGAGAGAGGGAGGGAAGGAGGGAGAGAGAGAGAGAGAGAGGGAGGGAGGGAGGGAGGGAGGGAGAGCATCCAGGGCAGGGCCTGCTAGCAGCCCATGCCAGGGACTTCTCCTCCACCAGGTAAGTGGTTCACTGCAAGGGGTAAGCCAACAGAGTGGAAGAGAGAGACCAACTCTGGTACTGCCACAAGGGCACAAGAGGAAGTTGGATGGAGAGAGAAAGAAAGAACATACAAAAACAAACAAACTTCTTTACAAAAAGTTAGACATGGGCGTTTTGATTCATTTGTGTTCTACGAGGGGGGCTCTGGGGGTTGTAAATCAGGTTATATGTATGGATTTAACAAAACATGTATAATTTATGACCTTCTTACAATTTTTTGCACAGCCCTATTATGAATATTTCACTTTGTATTTTCAGTAAACATTTATACTTCAGTCTTTAATAGTTTGTTTTAGATTAAATAAGATCAATAGAGCTCCTTCATCAATTTGTTAGGTGATTAACAGATAAAACAATAAATAACTGATGCTGGTCATACTTTAGTAGAGATATCATGCCACTGGAACCAATTTGAAAGTTTAGCATGTAGATGAAGCTGCCCCTGGCAAGCTAACGTGTGACCAGAAAATAGAAGCATCCTTCTTGACCTTATTCCTGAGAAATCTTTGGAATTAGGAATTTCTATACTGTGGAGGAAATCCATATCTTTACCATTGTCCAATATGTTGATCTCAGGAGGTAAATAATGGTGGGTAAAATGTTGGAGGAAAGAAATTACACTATATGCATATATCTATCTTACCTGCTGGTAAGACATGTGCAATCCCATTCCTTCCAAAGACATATCAAGGATACTCTCGTGTTGATATGTGCAGCCATTCTGTTCCATGATACCTTTGTAAAAGCTAACTCAGCATGGATTTCTAGAAATTTAAACTTGTGCTAAACTACTTGGGTGAAGAAGTTTAGTACACTATGCCATGCCTAGATTTCAATTTTTGATTCACCAGCACTAGCCGATTTATATGGCATGATCCAATATACATGGTGCAGTTAAATCCCAGCAAAACTACTGCACTAAAGTAAAAGTGGTCCAGAATGCATCATTTGAACATTCAAAAGGTGGGAAAAACAAGGCTAAAAATACTGACGAATGTGCTAAAAATTTCATAATTTCACTCAGAGACTGAAAAAAAAATCTATATTTTCCATGAATGTGATGAAAATGAATGAGTGAACCTTTGCATCTCTATGGGTTGTCAAGTTGTCAGAGGTGTGGCTTTATTCACAGAATTCCTTCACTTAAAATACATTGTTGTCTTTCCCTATTACTTTTTGTGAAAATCTTAACACATTTTTATTTCCACTTATTTTATGTTTTCTTCGTCTAAGAAGTGTATTAGTATTCATTCTGATATATTTTTTTGTTATTGGTGCCTTCAATGAGTGACATTTTTAATGTCGATAGTGTGAGCATATTTATTTATTATTTATTTATTTAAAACTTTTATATCCTGATTTCTACCTCCGTAGAGGGACTCAGACTGGCTAACAGCAAGGATTTAATGCTAGCAATAAAATTGAAAACATCATACATCAACAATGAATTTAAAAATACATATAGGATAAAATACATATGGCCATATTATCTGTACAACACATCTCCACTGATGTTAATGAACTTTTCCAGGATGCTGTTGAATACACAGTTTCACCCTTTAAATCTTACCAAACTTTTCTTAAGAATTTTTATTTTTCTCTCTAAGTGAATATTTCAAATAAACTGATACTGATTTTTTTTTATTTTGAAAGCCACCTTCACTACGTTTCCCTCTTTCATCTTTTGGGTGCACATCCAGAGAGAAGGTGCCCCTGAGCAACTCTTAAATTGCATTAATCTTATTGTTTGTTCATATACTATGAGGATGACTATTTGGGATGAAAATAAGCCCAAATCTCCAAATACTGGCTCACATGAATGAAATAAGAACCCATAAGGCAATAAGCACAATTTCTCCTTTCACGCTTGTAGAGGAGGCAGGAAAGGGGTAAATGTCAGTGCTGTGTTGGAAAATCTTGTGGCTACCAATAACAAATTCCAGGAATATCCTAGACTGGGATATGAGGCTGTTTATTCTGAATTATTTGGAAGCAGAGGAAGCTTACATATGCATGCATGCAAACGTGTGTACACACCAGTGGCATACCTATCCGAATGTATCTCCCTGTATGAAACATCATCGATGTTACTCTCCGTGAGGATGTCACTCTGAGTCCTGCCTCCATTGCAAGTGTGGTTGGTGGGGACGAGAGACAGGGCCTTCTCAATCGTGGCTCCTCAACTTTGGAACTCCCTCCCGAGCAAGATTAGATCAGCACCCTCCCTTCTGATCTTTAAGAAGAGAACAAAGACGTGGTTGTGAAATCAAGCCTTTGGCTAATAAATAATGCAGTACAAAGAATAATTAAGGAACATGTGCAATGATAATTCAGAATGGCTATGATATACAATTTTTGGATCATGGGATTTTAATGTTTATACTAGGATAATTTTATGTTTGTCTGAATGTTTAAATTTTATGCACATCTTATATTTAATGGTTTTATTTGATTTTAAGTTCATAGTTATGTGTAGTAATTAGTTATTATGATTTCTATGTGTACTGTAAAGTGTAGAGAAAGAGTGGAGAAAGGTGTAGAAGATAAGAAGGTAGATGAGACAATGTGCAGACTGAGAAAGAGATGTGGATGAATATGGTGAGCTGAATGGGAGGTGAAGGAAGCGATGGTGGAGATTCAGACACAGCAAGAGGAAGGATAGCGATGGAAGCAAGCAGGGAAAGAAGAGATGGACAGTGAGATGGAAGTAGGTTGGCAGGATGAAAGAACAATTTGGAGTAGGGGGGAGATGGGCAGGCAGGATAAAAGCTGAGAAAGAGAGGTAGGAGGGCAAAAAGACATGGCGATGAAGCAGTAGAATATGTACAGGAAAGAGGTGGTTACTTGGAAACAAACTGAGATGGGTGAGATTAACAGGAGGCATTAGATGGGTGGCCAGACCCAGGTGGCACATATAAAAGCAGACATCAAGGTGGTCCTGTGGCAGAGGGTATGAAAGAAATGGCAGAGTGAGAGAGATCTAAGGGCCCTTCCACACAGCTGTATAACCCAGAATATCAAGACAGATAATCCACAATATCTGCTTTAAAATTGATTATCTGAGTCCACACTGTCATATAATCCAGTTCAATGTGGATTTTCTACAGCTGTGTGGACTTACATATTTTGGGAGTGGTCTGGATACCTAGCAGAGTCTCCTTTATTATTATTTTTTGTTATATCCCCAAGGAGGGGGGAGTACCTTGTTTGTTATTATTCTGATCCCTGTTATGTGTCTGGATCTTCCAACCTTTTGTTACTGTCCAAAATAAAAGTCTTTTGCTTGCACCTATGCATCTCCAAGTGGTCATGCCAAGGTTGACCCAAGCCCCTGAGTCAGGGGTGGTTGGAGTTATAGGTATGATGGGTTGCAATGCAGGCAATCTTTGATTCTCTTTCCCTAATCATTTCACTTTGCTCCTTGCTTTCTGGTACACGGATGTGTTGAGAATTGCAACACACTTATAAAAAAAAGCCAGTGAGTACTAGTGCCAATTGGGAACAGGTTGAAATAAGGTGTCCTCGGGCTTTAAACCTACTTCATTAAAATAATCAACTTTTGTTAGGGTGGGTTTAAAGATGGTAATTTAAATTACTTTTGTGAGTTCCATTCTGTATTTTATATTTTAAACATTGGCTGTTAATGTAAAGCATGCTGGACTACGTATTTCTAAACTGAATGTCTCAGGGGTCCTAATACACATCAGAACATGGTGGCATCAGAAAGATATGTATAAAGATCCAAGTGAAGAGACTCCTTCTTTGAGAAAGTTTGACATTATCTGAAACACTGTGAATTTTAATTAAAAATTAAATTACATTTTGTTGCATTTTTACTAAAGTAATATTCTTTCTTGATTTTGTAGGAACCATTGAAGAAGATGAAGGTGATGACTTGCTGTTGAGTTCTGTGGATGAATTCTGGTGGTTTCCTCATATGTGGAGCCACATGCAGCCTCATCTCTTCCATAATGAGTCATCTCTGGTGGAACAGATGATTCTCAACAAAGAATTTGCACTAGTGAGTATTTGCATGCTTCAAGCATCTTGAAAATCAACGTTATACATTCCCTTGTTAGTTTTGCCCACCCCTACTTTATGAAACACCTACATTCCATTTCCAAATGCTCAACTGAAGGATTAAGTTATTGGAGTGCTAGAAATTTGGAAGGGGGATAAAATGCCATTTGAGGGCAGAAGTCTTTTCAGAAGGAACAATGCCCTTATTTCTCACCCCCACACACCTCTAGCTACATCTAGAGAGAGTATATATGCACAGTTATATTTTCTGTGTATATATGCTATATATACTGTCACTTTTAGCTGGGTATTAAGTGCCCCAAAGAAGGTGTTCAGTATTATAAAATACCTTTTGAGCATAGTAAAAAAATGGGGAAAAGATACACTGTTGTGAGAAATTTATCTGCCTGACATAATAGAGTCCCTGATGTCTAAGATGAAGGTTGAGTCCATGAACTCAAAGTAATCTTGCATATTTTTTCAATTCCTGTTGCTTTCCTTTATTTCTAGCTGCAAGCTCTGCTTCACAAATAGTCTTTTTAAAGAAAGTATATTGTTATACTTCAGAAACCGTCCAAAACACTTAGTGCTGAATAGTGTTTCTATGTTCTCTGTATCTTTCTCATACACACCATTATTATCAACTCATAATAATGATGACCCCTCCCCCTCAGCACCAAATGCTGCTCTGGGCAAGAGTGAAGAGAGAAGGGGCCAGGGGACAGTTCCACCTTGTCTCCTGTGCTATTCTAATAATATAATATAATATAATGAATATACATATAATATTTATAATATTATAATGTAATGCAATATAATACTACTACTACTAATATGATATTATAATTATATATTTATATTACGTGTAATATTACTAATAATATTACAATATAATGGTATAGTATAATATAGTAATATTTAATACTGTTATTGTACTATGCTAATAATATATATTGTATGTATATATACCTTGTAAGCTTCTCTGAGTCCCCTTAGGGGTGAGAAGGGCGGCATATAAATGTTGTAAATAAATAAATATAGACATCAGAAGATGCCTCTGTATACTATCAATATGAAACTCACTCTATACTGTAAGCATATAACTTTTTGATATCATTTCTGCTAATATCAAATTAAAACATTTTGAAAAAGAGTTTGTAAATGTTACATTTTGCACAGTGACTCCAAGAATCCCTCTTCCATCATGTGCATAGACCAATTTTCAATTTCCACTTTAAACACACTTCCTTCCTAAGTGTAAATTCCAGAAGAGCTTTCACAATTGATTGATTGATTGATTTTTCATTGATTAATCCTGATTTTTTATACTCTTACATTATTACATTTTATTTCAATTATATCTTTCTATGGTGAACAACTTCAATAGAAGTGGTGTGTGTGTGTGTGTGTGTGTGTGTGTGTGTGTGATATTACTAAGACTTTCTGAACTCATTGTTAGTAGTGAGAATTCCCCTAGTAATCTTAGATTTCTGGTTTAGAGTGTGAAATTGCTCTTAAACCAGTTTAACTCAGTAACTTAGTTCAACTTTAGATCCCACTCATATATCAAATAGCCATTGCATCTTCCTATATCTCTTTGAAGTATACACTGCATTCTCACATGACATGGTGTTTATGTAGTAATAAGAATATTACTGAGAATTAGTATGGCATAGTGGCTTACACTGGACTACGGCTTTGGAGAATAGAAAAATGAGAAACTGTTATAAACTAGTATAGACAGATCCCCCTTTCCCTACTTGTGTTCATTCAAAAAGAAGGTTGCACTGTCATGCTATAACCAGAAGAACAATTCCAAGACAGGAAGTATTCTTGAACTTGGAGACTTAGGAGTGGAGTCAGAGTGAGTATCCTCTCTCAACATATCTTTTTGAAAACTCTTTTTGAAAATGAGAGAGAAAGCAATTAACAGAGGAAAGGCTAGCTTTGAGGTGCCGAACTAGCAGACAATATATTTTAGGTATAGAAGATATCGAAGAATTATCCACATGAGCCATCAATCTGTTTTTGATCTGCTAGCTCTGAAGGGAGTGGCAGACATGGAGAAGACAGGGGCTCAACAGCTATCATTTTGCTACTGCAAAATTGCTTCAGCTGTAAGCTGAAAATTTTGGATAAAACACCCTTCCATCAACAATGTCAACTCAATGAAGGTCAAATATTGGGAAACTCATAAAAATAAGGCAGGTAAATTACTTTGCACCAATCTCTGCCTAAACTATATTCTCCCCACTCCTTTTTTAAATGTTAGAAATGGGACTCGTTCAGTTTGGATTGTTGCAGAGGGTAAAGTTTGCTTTGAGCTGAAAACAATTTATTATTATTAATTGGAAGATATTTTAAATTACAAAGATTGTGAATAATTTACAGCATTTATTGCCAGCAAGTAACATTATTATCTTCACTGGACTAAACTATTTCAATTATTTCAACAGCAACTAAATCTATGGCTGCTGTTTGTTAGAGAAATCTGTTATTAACCCATTCTAGTCTTTGATATTTTTTTGTGCTACTGACCCAATATAACACAGCTTGAGGTTTTGGAGAAATCATTGGACCTTAAAAAGTAACTATCAAATGGAGAATGTAAACAAATTTTAACAACTACAAAACCAATTCCAGAAAAACAAGAAGCATACCAGTGACTACTAGATGAATCATATTAAGTTGATCAAGGATTACGAGATGAATACCGGATTGATCAAGTATTACTGGAAGAATTGAAAGTTCATAAAGAAGAGCCAGCATTCGATCAACCAGGCTCCCAAAAAGAAATAATGTACACAACTATACAAAAGTGGATACAAATTCATATCAGAACTAGGACAAAAAAAATCTTATACAACATCACAGAGAGAAAAATGCTCAGGTCTACAAGTTTCACCAAGAGAGACAGACATAAGAAAGATAATTTTTACAGAGAAAATTGGAATAGATATTTTGAGCCTATTTTTCAATGGAAAAAGCATGTGAAAATTAAGCAGTCATATTTTTACCAAAAGAATAGTTTGGCTTGCAAGAATGAGATTGAGTCTAGACTCAATAAATTGAATCAAGAACTTTGTAAAAACTAAAATGAACTAAAGAACTCTTTTCTATGGAAGGAGGTGAATTGATGAAATAAATAAAGGGAAAATAAAATATAAAATATGAAATTACAAAAATTAAAAATGCTTAAACTGTTTAATATTATCTATGGACAGGTGGAACATTTAAAATAAATGGGAAATATAGTAACATACTCTGTTGAAAAATCTGGAATACAATGAAATGTAATTAGTTTAAATGATAAAATTTGGGTGAGGGGGTTAAATAAATATTTAAACTTTTTGTATTATAACTTCTGGACAGGTGGAATAATTATTGAATGGGGAATAAAATATAAGATATTTTATTTAAAAACATTGGAACACAACAATATCATATTTGATTAAAAAGGGAAAAATCAGGGGAATAAGATAAGATATGATTAAAGGGGATAAAATTAGGAGAGCTATTAATATGATTCAAAGATGAATTTACTATGAACATTTAGCTAAAATTGGTAAATTGTTGATATGAATATTACTCATGGTTGTGCATTAATATTAAATATGGTGTTTTGTTTAACAGAAGTTTAATAAAACCAAAGAAGTATGTGTAATAATTTGATAATTGCCTATGCTTGATGAGGGGAAAGTCCATTTTGGTTTTAATGGCCTTTTGTTTTGTATTGTATTTTTGTTCCATGTTGGTAGGGATGGAGGGGAATTATGGGTTGGTTCATGTTTGGACTGCAAAAATGCAAAAAAATATCCAGAAAAGAGAAGCATTATTGAACTTTGTGGGATTTGCCATTGAATACATGAAAACACTTAGGACCACTTTCCTAATATCCCGTCTTCGAACAAAATCTGGAATCTTCCATTTTCAGTGACTAGGCAGACTCCCCACTCCATGGATACATCATTATTTGTTCCTTTAGTAAGACTCCAGTAAAATAACATTTCTTACTGGAATTGATGTGAGATCACTGCCATAAAAAGGTGGATGGCTTGCTTCTAATATCCATCTAAATTTATCCTTTCTGAGAAATGCCACAACCATTCATGCTGGATGAAGATGTTTTTGACACACACTGTGTAATTGTAAGCACACAACTCACCAGATGGAAAGGAATAACATTCAGTATGGAGCAAAATAATATTTACACTTACCATCACTGGCAGGGGTAGTATATGGCCTGTGGTGCAACCTGTCTTTTCTATCAAGTGGTTACCATTTCAGTAACTTTAGCCTCTGGAGTGTGCCTTCCAAATCAGGAGACAAGTGAATGCTAGAATGCAATAACAGCAGGAAATGATTTGTCTCTGTCAATCAAAATATATCAATGCTATTCTTGTTGGATTTTCAAGTGTCTACTTGAAGCAACATACTAGTAATATACACACAGTTGGGACAATATTTGTAGTCTTCTTATTTTAATAATAGTACTATCCTCAACTTATTTGTGCCAGATCTCACTTGTGATCTCACACACAAAAACAACTATGTTGGCTGAGATAGTGGCAAGGAGAAGAAGCTTGGAAAAACGCACACTTGTAACCAGAGTATTGAAAGTAAACAAGGCCACAAATGTATACAGCTTACATCTGTGCAGAGTTGGCAGGGCACAAGGCACAAATCCATCAAGCTGCCCTTTTATCAAGCCCAACCTCATGACATAATGCCAAGAAATCACCAAGAGATGACAGCAGAGGAAAGCTACCTAGGTGCATCTGGGGGTCCATGCCGTAGAGGGGGGTATAATCTTGGGTATCACTATTGTCAAAGTCTCTTGAGAGTCCCTACAACGCAGTTGAACCATCTGGTTCAACTCCCTTCTGCCATGCAAAAAAAGCACAACCAAAGCACCCCTGAGTGGTGGGAGGGAAATAGGGTTTTAGAAGCAAAGAAAGGGGGAGAGGATCTGAATGGTGAGAAAAAGAGTCTGGGCAGAGA